GGGATTTTTTGTTTTTTTCCTGAGGGGGGTATGTACTCAGAAGGCCAGAGGGGAGAGAAAGAAGTACCCCTTGGGGGATGGTCATGCCACAGTCCCTTCTCCATTATCCTTTTTAGATTTGGGGCACACATGCCTGGTGTGCTCTTCAAGCCACTGAGCCTGGAACTCAAGCTACGCATTCGGCCATGTGGGTCCAACTGTCTCAACCACCATGCCACTGGCTGGCCCGAAATTTATTTAATGTATGTACAAGGCATGATGAAATTAGGCATGGCAGAGAACTCACAGGAAGTAATCTGGTACCTCTTCAGGACTGGGGGATTCAGAGTCTAGGAAGGAAACAAGAAAACACTGAAGTGATTATAGGTCTTTTTTCCACTCTGGTATGTTTACCCTTCTCTCATGAACTCACCTGCTTGAACTGAGGAACTGTGCTCTAGGCTGGGGTTCATGTCCCCATCTTTATCTTCTTGCTCCCACTCTTCCCCCTCTTGTAAGTCCTGATTGGTCAACTCTTGCAGGGGACTCGGAGCTAGAGGCAGAGTTCGGAGTCTCTTTTCTTCTAGTTCAGCAGAGGCTGCAGGTGCTGGGCGTTTCTGTTGAAAAAATATCTGTGACATAAACAGTAACCCCAGTGCTTCCCATTCTGCCTTTCTCAAAATTCTTCCCATATAATCAACTCCCAGATTTGCAGTTTTAGCCTAAAAATGCTTTCAAAAGCCCTTGCCAGCACGTTACCTTGTTCAGACGTTTCCGACTAGTGGAGGAAGGCAGTGCCTGTTCCGCCTCTCTGTTTGGAAGATGAGTCTGGTTCCTAGGATATCTGGAGACCAAGGTGGGAGGCGGGGCTAGATCCTATTACAGCATTTAAGGGTGGAGAGGAGAGCAACAGGACAGCAGGACTTCTATGTGAGTCCCACCTGGTCCCAAGTACCTCGCTTCCCACTGTGCCATGTGCTCCCTCGAGGATCCTGGGAGTGACTGTCCTTGGTTGCTTGCCAGGGGATCTGGCACCTGGTGGGGAAAGCGGCAGGAGCTCTTGGCTCCCTGGACTTCAGGCTCTGCCCCGCCTTATCGCTACTCCCTGCAGTTTCTGGCCTCACCTCTTCCAGTGCCATCTGTGGCTGTGAGGCTGCATCTCCTTCAGAATTCTCTCCTGGGTTCTGCCAACTCTCAGAATCTCTGGCATCTCCAGTCAGGTCAGGTCCCTGCACTAGGGATGGAGCTGGAATGGAATCCATGGCTGCCCAAATAGTGAGGCGCTCCCTAAGAGGGCCCAGGCAGTAGAGGCGGTTGGGCCCAGATCTGGAAAGGGGGGATGGAAAAAACAGGAGGGTGGAGAGCCTTGAAGCACCTCTCCATCTTCTCCTCTCCCACCTTCCCCAATCCCTTCTTACCTGCTACCTGTTCCCCCTTACCTGCCCAAGCGTTGGCACACGAGGTCCAAGCCACCACCAGCGCCCTCCTGGCCACATTGCGACACTACGAAGGAGAAGAGGCAGGACCAGCCCGGGCCCGGGAGCCTCAGGTACTGTGAAGGAGATGGTGTGCCCCATGAAGTCGGCACCGCCCCCTCCCGCCTACGCCAGCCTGAGCCTGAAGATGGATCCCCCGGGGCTCGTTAGCACGCCAGGTGCAGCTGGGCCTGAGTTCCCCAGGAGGCTGAGGCGGCACCGTCCCCTCAACCACAGCCTCCTGGGACCACAACCCGAGCAGCGCCCTCACCCATGGGGTTCAGTTCTCGGAACTCCCTCAGACCGTGACCACCGCGGTCTGGCCCAGATCGCGCCTTCCGGGACCCACCCTGGCACTCCCTCACCCGCACCTGGTTCACACGCCCCGGGCCGCACTTACCCCTCGGTGGCCCTGGAAAGCGATCATTGGTTGTACCTGCGGGGAGAGCACAGACGGGAGCTGGGGGCAGCGAAGCCGTGCCCGCAGGACCTGGCGTCGGGGGCCGGGGGACACCCGCCTCGCGGGCTGCACAGAAGTGCGGACGCCGGAGCCCGCGGAAGCCGCTTCTCGCCCCGGGCGGCCGGCTGAGCCCGAGGTTCCGAGGGGTAGGGTTAGGGGAGAAGGGGCCAGGCACCTGTTGCCGCTGACAGTCTTGCAGCGCCCTCAGCGCCGCGTCGTTGAGCCTGAGCAGTAAGAGGCTGGTCCGGGCAGCAGGCGAGAAGCAGAGCCGGTGCGTCCCACTCAGGGGGTCCTGGGGTCTCTCCATGGCGGCGAGGTCGAGCGCAGGCAGAACCGGGGCCACAGGTGACGGCACCACCGCCTCCTCCGCGGTGCAGGGCCGGGCTGGCACACCCTGCAGCCCAGGTCTGCCCCGCCCTCTGCCCGGACCCCGCCCTGGCCCCACCCCCAGCCTCAACCTCCCCCGAGGAATCCCAGCCGTGTGGGCGGCGCTTCGCGCTCGGGGGCGATCCGCCCAGACCCCGGCTTTTGTAGAGCACACTGGGCCTTCGGAAGGGCCGTCTATCCCAGTGCTGGAGAAAGAGACGACCCCTCTCCCAGAACGCCCAGTTTCCCTAGCCACCTTGAACTTGGAGTTGTGCCTCTTAAGTGAAAGCTGAAACCCCTTGAGGTTTCAGCCGCGTGGGGCTGGGAGACAGTCTGGTTGGGAGGGGCCCGGTCGTTCGCGCCTTGGAGGCCAGGAGCCCCAGGGGTCCCTCGGGACTGGAGGATGGCGGACCTGAGGGGAGACTCTGCATCACATTTGGTTTTGCCAGCCCACATTTGGTTTTGACAGATCCGAAGAGGTTTCTAAGGCTGGAGAGACTGTCTGGCCCTGTAGTGTCGTAGCAGCTGTGAAGCTTGGCTCTCCTGGGCACCCCTCATTGTTGGGTGGGTTGTGGGCGTGGGGGGGTGGCAGGAGAGTTGCGGAGCAGAGGAGAGGCAGGACTCAGTCCCAGGTCTCATCTCCCGGGCCCAAACACACATGAGAGTGGTGAGAAAGAAGGCTCCGCGACTCAGGAAGTACCAAGAAGTTGTCAGGCGTTCCAGAGGTCCAGATCCTGGTGCAAGGAGATCCCAGGACCGTCTTATGCCCCCTTCGGTGTTTCTACTTGTTTCTGTTTACTTGTTTCCCAACAGCCCTGATGTCCCTTTTCCTAAGCAAGATCACTCTGTTAAATCCCTAGACCTGATTAATCTCCGGTGACTTTAATATCCTCCACCCCAAATCAAATTACCCATACATTTGTCAAAACTCATTAGACTCTCTTTTTTTTAAATATTATTTTATTTAACTTTATTTATTTATTTACTTGACCAGAGAGGGACAGAGAGAGAAAGTGAGAGAGCAAGCTGCCAGGTCCGGGACTCAGACTGTGGTCGGCCATGTGGGAGTCCAGTGCCCTTAACCATCAGGCCACTTGCCAGCCCCTAAACAGTACACTTGTGTATTGTATGGAGCCAACTGGTTGCATGGTGGGTGGTTAAGACATCTGGAACCCACATGCTGACAGCATTGTTCAAGTCCCAGACTAGCAGTTTGAAAAATGCCTACTATGTGTGCCCCACATCCCAAAAGGACCCAAGGAGAAGGGATTGCACCTGACTATGGCCCATGGTGGGTGCTTTCTCACTTTCTCTCTCCCTCCCTCTGTCTCCTCCAAACAAGTGCATGTGCCCTCTAGCAAATACTAGTGGTTAAGGGAACCAGATCTCACATGATCCACTGTGATTGAATCCTACCTGGGGATGCTCAAAATCCCTAAAGGATGGAGACAGGATTGCAGTGTTACCATGGCTGCATAACAATGCCCATGTGGGAGTGCTTTCTCCCTCTCTTGCTCTGTCCCTTTCTGGTAAGAAAATAATCTTCTGGCAATTAAAAAAAAAAAAAAAAAGGAAAAAAAATGACATTATTAGTGTATGGCTGGCCCCTAGGGTTCGAATCCTGTACCGGCAGCTTGCTTTCTCATTTTGCTTCTCTCTCTCTCTGTGACTCTCTCTGGTGAACTTCAAAGAAGAAACAATGACAATGAATAAAAATTAAATATATATATGTATATGTGTGTATATATATGTGTATATATATATATATATGATACTTTAGAAGGTGATAAGTGCTATAGGAAAAAAAAGAAAAAGAAAAATTGAGTGAGGAAAGAAGTCCTGGGCTTAAGGGAAGGAGGTTGGCAGGTGGCATGGTGGTTGGGGGCACTGGATTCCTACATGGCCGACCACGGTTTGAGTCCCGGATCTGGCTGGTTGCTTTCTCACTCTCTCTCTCTCACTCTGTCTCTCTCTGGTCAAATTAAAATAAATAAAAGAATAAATAAAGTTTAATAAAATAATTCTTTTTTTAAAGAAGGAGTAGGAAAAGGGAGGCTTCTGTGTGTGTGTGTGTGTGTGTGTGTGTGTATAGTTACCAAATTTTCAAGAGACAGAGGGAGAGCACCCACAACAGAGGTATTGACACTGAAATCCACCCCCAGCTTCGGCTATCCCTGGATCCCAGATCCTGGGCACACGCATGCCCAGAGTATACAAGGTCTTCAGACACAAACACAGAACCTTCTCGTGTGGGTCAGTCTTGTAGAGCATTGACTTTTATGTCTGTGCCACCATCCATTCCCTTGGCTTTATATTAAATTAAATACTAAAATAATTTTTTAAAGAATTATTTACTTACTTCCATTTGTTGTTATTATTTTTTAAATTTGACCAGAGAGAGACAGAGAGAAAGGGAAAGCGAGAAAACAAGCCGCCAGGTTCAGGACTTGAACCGCAGTTGGCCATGTGGGAATCCAGCGACTTTAACCACCACACCACCTACCAGCTCCTAAAATAATTTGTTTAAAAATAGAAAAATAAACAAATGAGATACTCAAAGAAGGCAATCTGGAGTAAGTGCAATTTGAGCAATACCCTAAAGGAGATGAGGAGATTGGCAAAATTATACTATTGGAAGAAATGCTTTCCAGGCAGAGGGAACAGCAAGTGCAAACTCTCTAAGTCAGAAATGTGCCTGCAGTAAATAAGGAACAGTTAAGGCTGGAGTCGCTGGAGCTAAGTGAGAGAGGCAGGACTGTACTAACAGTAATAGAGTCAGGAAGATAAAGAGCAGGTTGAACCAGATCACGGAGGCCTTCTGGGCCATTGTAAGACTTCTTTCTAAGAGAAATTGGGAGTCACTGAAGGTTTTTTAAGAGAAAATTTACACGAGGTCAGATTGTGTTAAAAGGGTCACCCTAGGGACCGGCCTTGTGGTCTAGTGGTTAAGGGAGTTGGATGCCACATGGCTAGTGAGTCAAATCTGGCCCTGCTGGCTTGAAAAACACACCAGGCACATGTGTAAAATGGAGGAGAAGGGATTGTGATGAGACCACACCCCACTGGAAAGTGCTTTTGCCCCCCCCCCTCTCTAAGGATCGCACTTGCCCCCTGGGAATATACATACATGCATAGCAGGGTCACTCTGGTTGCTGTGTTAGGATATACTGTTCAGAGAAAAAAAATAAAAACAGTATTACCTATTAAGAAACTAGGCGGCCAGCTAGGGGAATGACTGTGCAGTTCAAGTCTTGGAGCTGGTGGCTTGAAAAACATGCTGGACATGTGTGCGTGCATGCCCAAAATCTTGAGAGGAGAGTGGAGAAGGGTTTGTGGCATGGCCATCTCCTCTGAGGGAGAGGGGGTGCCTTCTCACTTTCTCCCTTGCTCCCTCTCTTTCTCTCATTGTACGCTATAGCAAAACTAAAAAAAAAAAAATGAGAGAGAGAGAGAGACTATTTTGGTGGCATCTTGGACTGGGTGAGAAAGTATATAGGATTTGGGGGGCAGTGGGTGGCATGGCGGTTAAAGGCACTGGACTCCCACATGGGCAACTGCAGTGTGAGTCCCGGACCTGGGGGCTTACTTTCTCACTTTCTCTCTCGCTCTCTGTCTCTCTCTGATCACAACTAGAAAATAATAATAATAATTAATAAAGTTAAATAAAATAATTCTTTTTTAAAAAGTGTATAGGTGGGACCAGCAGTTAGTGTAATGGTTATGTCGTTGAACTCCCATGTAGCCGACCACAGTTCAAGTCCTGGACCTGGTGGCTTAAACTCATGCTGGGTGTGTGTGCATGCATACCCAAGATCCCGAGAGAATGGAGAAGGGATTGCGGTGTGGCCATCCCCCCTGGGGGGTGATTTCTCACTTTTTATCTTTCTGTCTCTGTCTTTCTGGCACATGCCCTATAGCAAAAAACAAAACAAAACAAAACAAAACAAACAAAACAAAAAACAAACAAAACAAAAAAAACTCTCAAAAAAAAAAAAAAGTGTATAGGATTTTGAATATATTGGTAGAGCCAACAGGATTTCCAGATGTCTTGGTCACCGTGTGGCACCATCTTGAGCAGCACGTTAGCCAGTCATGGTGACATGTACTTGTAATCCCAGGTACTTGGGAGGCTGAGGCAGGAGGATGAATTTGAGGCCAGCTTGGATAGTGTAGTGAGGCCCTATGTCTAAAAGTATAATAAAGATAAAATAAAATGGGCTAGCCAGTGGCATATCAGTTAAGGCAGTTGGATCCCACATGATTCACTGCACACGTTCGAGGGCTGGACCTGGCAGCTTAAAAATGTATGTTAGATACAACTGTATACATGTCCAAAATCCTGAAAGAGGGAGTTGGAGGAGAAGGGATCATAACACGACCATTCCCCTTGGGGCAGGGTGCCTTTTCACTTTCCCTCTCTTTGTCTCTCTCTGTCTCTTTCCATGTACCCTCTGGCAAAATCTAAATAAATTAATTAAAAGTAATAACTTATTTTTAAAAAAGAAGAAATAAAAGTGAAGTGCCTTATCCAAGATCACAAAGCAGAGGTTCTAAATCTGAGCCTATAGACCATAGAATTCAGGAAGTCTGTGAACTTGAAAGGTGGGAAAATAACATCTTCTTTTTTTTTTTTTTTCCCAGTTTGCTATAGGGTGTGTGCACTTGCCAAAAAGACAGGGTCAGGTGTGGGCGTGGTAAGAAATCACCCCTGGAGGGATGGCCATGATGCAAACCCTTCTCCATTCTCCTCCTGGGATTTTGATCACACATGCACATGTGCCTGGCATCTTTTTCAAGCTACCAGGTCTGGGTCTCGAACTCATAGTCAGCTATGTGGGCTCCATCTGCCTTAACCACCACACTACCATTGCAAGAGAAATAGTAGACAGGACCCTGCAGCAACTGAGGGTCTTCGTGAGCCGGTACTGGACTAGAGGAAGTGAGAAGCAGAGAAGAGAATGAGAATTGGGAACGGATATGGAGACTATAAAAGAAATTTGTCCTGTCCCCTTGGTGTCTCCCAAAGGAGAG